AACTAACACACCATTGTAAAGCAATTATACTCCAATAAAGATGTAAAAAAAAAAAGAATTCAGACTGCTTGGGTTCAAATCCAGCTCCTCCACTTACTTGCTATGTGACCTTTGGCACGTTACTTAATTAGCTTTTCCACATTTAAGTTTCCTCATCTGTAAAATCGGGATAATAACAGCACCTGTATCACAGAGTTGTCAATAATCCATGGGAAGCACTTAGCCCAGCACCTGGCACATAGTAGGTGTTGTGTGTTAATTGTTGTCACTGTCACTATGACAGAATGAGGGTTAGTTACACTGACTACATGACTTATGGCACAGAAGTCCCTTTTCTTTCTCTCCCCCTTTTTTGGCCATGCCACGTGGCATGTGGGATGTGGGATCTTACCTCCCCAGCCGGGGATCGAACCCATGGCCCCTGCAGTGGAAGTGCAGAGTCCTAACCACTGGACCGCCAGGGAAGTCCCCAGAAGCCCCTTTTTATGGCCCAAAGCCAGAGTCCAAAATAGCATTCACTCTGTGAACTCAGGATTCCAGAGCTCCACAAAGGTCCCTGGGGCCCTCATCAGACTCTCTGCTCCCCATCTCAAAACTCATCTGTCCCACGTGCCACCTGACCTTGCTGCTCAAGACCCTGGCTACATGTGGGTCTACTTTTGAGTAAGCCCTAAGGGCCAGAAATCCAATGACAGTAGGCCACCAAGAAGGAACAGAGGACATGCCCTCCCCTTGTAAAATCACCAGAGGTTTGGAAAACTCTAGGAAGGCTCATGCAGATACGTGGTTGTTTTTTTTTCATAATGACATATATCTATAAGTGACACGTTTTTTACAGAGGTACATCAACACACATACACTCAAATTAGTATCACCCTCTTGCCTGGCTTATCTGCAAAAACATGGATACATGGAAACTCAGCAGAAGTAAGAAGTGGGAAGTGTATCTCATGCTTACTGAGATACAAGCACAAACACTGGTTCATTTATCAGAAGACACCCAGGCAGAAAGTATTTCACTGGAGGCAGCAAGAGCCAGGGAAGGGTCCAAATGCTTGACTTTATCCCCAGCTCTGTTGGTCACTAGCTGTGTAACCTTACCTTCAGTTTTCTCATCTGTAAAATGGAAATACGGTTGGCAAAGATTAAAAGAGATGACAAAAGAGATGTGAAAATGCTTATACACTTGCAAAATATAATACAGGTTAGACTAGATTTAATTAGGATGGTCTTGGGAAAGCTGCTTAACTTCTCTTGGCTTCAATGTCCCATCTGCCCCAATGTCCAAAATAGGGATAAGTACTTACTGTGAGGATTAGCTTAGTATTTTGAACGGCCTAATAAAATGCAAGTGAAGAATACTAGTCTTTGACATGAGTAGCAGTGATGATAGTAATGAAAGTGATGGTGGCAGTGTCGGGAGCCATTAGGAAAGCTCTACTTTCAATGCATTCAAATATTTTTCCCAAGCTGGATCTCCAGATGCCAGCAGGCTCACCGTCATATTTCAGGTAAGTAGTAGAAACCATGGAGCCAGCACAGCAAAATGGAGAGTTTGTTATAAGGATTTAAGAGACTCAGCCAAGGCCAGAGACAGCCAGGCTTCAGGAACAGGAGAGAATCAGGGGCTGAAAGACTATGAGAAACTCAGGAAACCCTCTCTCAGAATTTCTTTTCTTCGTGGATCTACTTAATCCTTCTCTCCCTAGAAGGAAATGGCAGCCACTACCAACAGCTCCCAGATTTATATCCTCTCTGGCTGGGATTTTTTAGTCCCACCCCCAAATTCTCAGGAGAAGGAGCTCATTGGCTTAGCTGGGGTCAGGTGTTCACCCTTGAACCAATCAGCTGTGGCCAGAACACCACCCAATCAACTGTGAGGATACGGTATGGGCAAACATGGCTGCTCCCATGGCAACCCTATGGATGGAGGGAAGTAAGAGGGACCAGAAAGAAAGGGGCTGGGTATCCACTACTCGCTTTTTCTCAGGAGTCCCTTTGTCCCTGTAACACCTCTCTTGTCTCATGCAGCCAGTGGAGCTCTTCCTGACATCCTGCAGCAGGGCGAGCTGCTGGCTGTGGACTCTGCCACATGCTCCCAATGAGTGAAAAGGCACATAGAGGGTGGTCTTGTCCAAAGAGGTTGAAAATAAAGGTTACTCCTCCAGCATTAATAGCAGGCTCCCTAGGATTCATGGGGTATTTTGGTTTTGCTCATCTACGTGTAGGCCCAGACCCCACTGCCCAATGCTATATTTATCTGCTCTCTCCCACATGGTTGGTGGGGCAGCACTGTGAAGACCAATATGATCTGTGCTGGGGGTGATGGTGTGATCTCCAGCTGCAATGTGAGTGCAGGAAGTCAGGTGACCCCACATACACACCGACAAAATGAGGCTGAGGATGGGGAGAGTCTCTCAGGGTCCTAGACTCCATCCTCCCAGCTGCTGGCAAAGCACTGGGAAACAGCTTCACACATTTGAACCCTGACCTTTGTCCTTGCAGTCTCCAGAAAAGATGTTTTGAGATTCTCCTTGTAGTAGTGTCCACCCTCTCACTGCTGGGAAGTCCTTCCTTGGGTCTCATTGAGGTCTCTCACAACTGTCATCTCTCTTATTCTTTCCTCTGTGTAGTAAGGGAGACAAGGGGACATATTTGCTGGGTTAGGACCTTTCTAAGGTGATTTCAAGTTTATCTGCTGAGTTAGTCCCATTCATGACCCAACGTATCCCTTCATGGTAGCTGCCACAGAGCCTTTCTGATACAGTGTCTTAACCAAAAGGACTTGCTATGTGGTGGACTTTGAAGCAGAGTGCGGACAGAGCGGGAAGGAGCTTCACGTGTTCTTCAGATCACACTGGGCCCCTACATTCTTTGCCCAGGCAGACGGGCCCCCAGGAAACTCCGTCGACGGGAGGAAATGGCCGGTGTTGATTGAGCGCATGGCATTCTAACTCTGGGACACGTCTCAGCTCCTTCACTTTACTGCTTGCACAGCCTCAGTCTGAGGGCTTCTGTTTTCCTCTTTGATGAAATGGGGATACTGCAACACTTACCTCATAGGTCTTGGTAAAGATTAAATGAGATAAGGCCTGTAAAGTGCTTAGCACCATTCCAGGCACACAGAAAGAATAAATGCTAGTTCCTGTTGGTATTATGGTGCCATCTTGAGCTGTGACCGCAAGCGCTGGCCTCTGAGAATATGGCAACCCACCGTGGAACAATATAAATGCACTGCCAACATGTAAAACACGGGGCTCTGAAGGGTAGCCCCTTCCCCTCCCCTCCCATCGCCCAACCCAAGCTCAAAGGCCCCTCCTGACAGAACTCTGGCCTTCCCCAGGGGGACTCCGGAGGACCACTGAACTGCCAGGCGGCTAATGGCCAGTGGCAAGTGCACGGCGTGGTCAGCTTCGGGTCCTCCCTTGATTGCAACTACTACCACAAGCCCTCCGTCTTCACACGGGTCTCCAACTACATTGACTGGATCAATTTGGTAAGAACCGGACCAGCCCTGTGCCCCCCAGGCCCTGCCCTGGCCCTGGCCCCATGAGGGCCATGCCCACCTGAGTTCTGAGGACCCCCTCCCTCCTTTTGAGAGCTAGGAGGCTGCAGACCTGGGCAACCCCTGCAGGATCCCCCATAGGCCCCAAAATTTCTGTGTGAGTTGAGTGAAAAGGCACATAGAGGGTGGTCTTGTCCAAAGAGGTTGAAAATAAAGGTTACTCCTTCAGCATTAATAGCAGATTCCCTAGGATTCATGGGGTATTTTGGTTTTGCTTATCTACGTGTAGGCCCAGACCCCACTGCCCAATGCTATATTTATCTGCAAAGCCCAAAAAACCTGGTCGTTTGAGATCCTCAAAGCCTTAATTATTGGAAATTAGTCATTCTAAAGGGTCCCCCAGCTGTTCTGTAGGGTGACCAATCATCTCAGTTTGCGCTGGACCGGGAAGTTGCCTGGGATGCAGGACTTTCTGTTTCAGACCAAGGCAGTCCAGGTAAATGGGGCTGAGCTGATCCCACTATGACTGTGAATGTGTCCCCAGAGAGCTTTAGCCTGTGAGCTCAAAACCAGTGCCTCACAAACTTCCGCACCAGCTCAATTCCTATTTTTAAAAAACAGTGAATAGGGCTTCCCTGGTGGCGCAGTGGTTGAGAGTCCGCCTGCCGATGCAGGGGACACG